GCTGTTCACACGTGACATCGACACGTACTTTGTACAAACAATACTACATTTAATCCTAATCCAGCAAGGTTAATTTTTCATTGAATGTGTTTGCATAGAAGGTAGAACATTTAATTGGTTTAATTTTTTGGGAAAATTAGCATATACGCCTGAATTTTCGCCATTTGCTCATTCCTCTGTTACCTAAACATTCACAAAGCAAGTTGTAAATCAATCCTTTTACCTTTGATGCTATCGATGTTCTGTCCTCAGAAACAACATCAACAGAACTAATGGAACTTTGCGCTATTATGCCAAAACCAACAAAACAGAAATAAGCCATCATTTCCATCTGTATCGTGCAATGTTTAACATAGCAAATCAAACAAGTCATAATTGTATATCTATCTTTGATGTACAAAATACGGAGGAAGGCGCAGTTCTTCCTTCTTCTAACTTTGATTTTGGAAATTTCTCTTTTGCAAATTCAATAGCTAAGCTAGCTTTATTAAGAGAAATCTACGCGTTTAACAATAATACATAAAAACAAGTTATGGGTATCAGAATGTCCATAAATAGTTTGAAAGAAAACTTTAAATCGTCATTAAAACCATTACTAATGATGACAGTATGTCGAATGTTATCTACCTAATTTAACCAAACAACGAGTTTGCGACTATCAATTTATCAAGAAGTATTAAGACTAAGTAAAATTTATGAGGACTTTTTCCGCCCATAGGCATTTTATTCACTGAAGACAGCAAAATACATAACATCATTAGTAATATTTGGCTGATCTTCTAAAGACTTGGGTAATTTCGAAATTCTTGGTTAAGAGAAAGACTCTTCGTTAAATCTTGAAGTATTTCGGTGCGAATCCAAACAGACTATCGAACCAGGAATAGATACATCACTAGAGGCAAAAAAATCAAAAATAGATTTCTCAGCATTATGCCAAAAAACCTGAGCATGATTCCAATTCAGCTGAATAACTATTTAGGTGAAACTTAGTAAGATTAGATACGTAAAGATACTTGCCATCAAATTATTTGTAGATATCCTCGATAGTATAAAGCGTTGACGTCAGCAGACTACACATGAACGAACATTAATAACAGAAACGATTAGAAAAATACTTAGAAGAACCTAATAAATTTGAACTGTGCAATGAATAATGTAAGCCAATAAAATTCCATGAGGAAATTTATGCATTTCCCGATATCTATTAATTTTTTTGAGTATTCGTTTACAAAATTAATTACAAATCCTGGAGTTACATTCCATTAGGACTAATATTTAAGGTAACTGGATTATCCGGACGTGCTATACATCATTGGAAAGAAATTAACCCGTACCTAACAGAGCCCCATTGGTTTCTTTGCGGACTAAGAATTTAGGCTTAATTTCCTAAACATAATGCTAAATGGATCGAAGTATGATTCGTTACATAAAATATCCTTGACTTGTTCGATTCGCAGACAATTGGGTGCCAATCTAATCACAGACACATCAGTCAATATATTCAATTTCGTTTTTAGGCCACCGACACTACAAAGACTACTGGTGTAAAGGTGGTTAGTCTTTGCGCTTGAATGTTACTAGACCAGTGGATAGGAAATTAGTAAGAAGCACTCACAATTATACATATTATATTAACGAGATTTTCCCTAAACTCTTAGTAGTCTAGACCTTCATTATATTTTATAGAGAGCCTATTCCAATCGACTGATGCATTATTGAAGTTTGGATAAGTTTGGACTCGGGAGACAGCTTGGTAACTGGTAAGACCATTAAAAAAAACTTAGTTAACAAAGGCATAAGAACGAGGATCTGGGATATTCTTTTAAAATGTTTCTTCTTTACACAACCTATTTTACAAGAAAACGCAGATACTAATATAAATAAGTAAATGATAAGTATTATTAGCGAATATCTTCGGATTGTGGGTTTGACGTAAACGACATGTTGTAAACATCCGCAGTTGAAAATGGACCATGTTTACCAGTGGGCTACGATAAACCTAAAATGATAACTAATTAAATAGGAATGTTGACCAATAACCATATTATATTATCTAACAAAGCAAAAAACGCACATACTAATTGAAGTCCTACTTGTTTATGACAAAAAATTTACGCGGACAATATAAAATACCTATCTATAGAGTTGTGTGTATAATGTAATTTGAGATATTACCTTTGTTTTTGTTTGTCTTGCAATGACACGACCTCCATATTGTCGAAAAAGCACAACACAAAAGTCCTCAACGCATAACAACTTTACACCAAAGGACTAAACAAATCAACTGATACTATTTCATATTAAACAAAAACAATTTATTCCGATTGCTTTGACGACGTAAACATATCTAAAGGAATGGTCTGATCTGAACAAAACGATATTAATCATCCTATAATCACAGATAATGTGCGATTGGTAAATGACAAAATCGCTTGCCACTAAGCGTGTTCCTTTAATAAAGATTGGCTCACGCGTACAATGACGCGTGGATCCAGATAAGAACAAAATTGCGAGTGAGACGACGATTAGGAGAATCGTAATACATTTACCTATTAACGAATTCAGAGTTAATGGCAAAACGCTACGTAACTGTTTAACTAACTACTTCTCTAACTTCTGCAACGTAAACGTAATAATCTTGCAAGCACAGAGACCTCGACAGAATTTTCTTAACCTTTCAAAAATCTTTTCTTTACGAGTATATCTGACTGCACAGTTGACGTGATGGCTTGATAACGAGCTGCCTTCTATCATGTCGGGGGTTCGGTTCCCACAAGGATTCTTTATGCGATCCACAAATTGTTGTTCCGGGTCTGGGTATAGTTGTTCCCGCGACACAGGAGAAAATCTTTGTGTAGGACTTTTACAAAAATGTACATTTCGTATTCAATATTTTTTCTTTATTTTTTAACATTTCAATTATTTGAAATGTTATAAAACAGCAGTAAGGGTTTTGCTGTCGCAGCGCACTCATAAGTCGCAATCACGACAGTTTTAAAACCACTTCCGCGTTTTCAAAGACAGTTACATTTGTATCGCACGCTGCGGCTGTTTTTCTGCAAGAGCGGTCGTGGATAAAAGCTGTTCAATTACAACAGTTTTTAGAAACATGTGTACTCGTTTTGACTTAGACTAACTCAGTCTTGTTGTGACTAATATATTTAACATTTTTACCAGCTTTCATGTTAACCTATCATTAGATTTAATATAGATTTCGAAATAATCATTTGTTCTGTTTTAAATTTTATTTAGGGTCTGTAACCGTAACCCACAAACCAGTTGACCTATACAAAAATAGCTGCCCTATAGGCTAGTAGGTTAGCAGGGCTGAATTAGCTAACATTAGGCAACATAATAAATTACTTCATCAATTCAGAGAATTATTTAAGGAAACTAAGATAATGACGGTTGCCTCACAATATATTTATGAAAATGTAATTCACGCTCATAAAAACAAAAGCTTATTTAAGAAGCATAGTGATATACATAATATTAACACGAGGGGGAAAAACAAATATGTTGTCCCCGCCTCCAGGCTTCAGAAAATAAGTAGTTCGTTTAGATGTCAATGTATACGCTTTTACAATAAAATTCCTAGGGATATTCAAAATTTGAGCCTCAATAATTTTAAAAGTGTAATAAAGGCTAAACTTTACTGTAAAGCATTTTATAAAATAAAAGACTACTTAGAAGATAGTCAGGCTTGGGAATGAGCCGCTGTAACTTCTGCACAGGTCATGTTGACATGTTTGTAACATAAGTTACGCTTTTTATATACAATTTGACATTACGTTTATTTTTTTAACAATGACATTATCACCTATTGTGACATTTTTATTTTTATTTGACATTTTTTATTTTATTTATTATTTTTATAATTATTTATTGACATTATTATTATTTTCTATTATTGTTAGTGTAAGGACCGTGTGAGACTTGCCGCGCTTTTGGACTACCAGTTATCTGCGTTCTGACAGTTTGAGTACTTGCGTGACCCAACCAAATGTTCTTTAGATCGGTATTGTTCGTCGGACAACTCAGCAGCACTTGCTATGCTGGTTGCAAACTGACACTTGCGTGCCTGTCTTCAGAACGGGTCCACTTAAACTGGTGTGGTTCTTTCATCAAAAGACCACTACAGAATGAACTTGCACGGTTCTCTCACATTATGTTATTTTTACATTGTCTGGACTTGAAAAGAGACTGACCTCTGAGTTTGTTTCGGCATTTCTTCTCAGAGTAGTCAGATAGGAAATGCCGGCTTCATCTAGTTTTTTACATATTAATTGACGTGTAAAAGTGCCGTTTTATGGCCTATTTGCAAAAATAAATTCATTGTTTCATTGTTTCATCCTTGATTGAGTATTGGAGACAGTACCATTTCACATTTGCATAGACACCCTGTCTATGCAAATTTTACGCTTGCTCGGAGTAAGATAACTAAGTACGTGCGATGCATTCAGCGCAACCAAGTTCATTATGGAAGTGACAACTTTATACGGCAACAAGATTTGTTGTTTTCATGCGAAAATAAGAAACAACGTAGATATCATATTATTCTGATTCTTGTCAAAGAAAAAGTTATTAACAAACCGTATTAGTAGGAAAGCCTTTTAATATATCCGACTCGGATACTATTCTAGACAAAAATTAATTTGTTGAAAAGCCTATACACGTACCTAAATATTGCTTTCCTCTTTGCACTACCTATTTGATAAACGAGGCAATCGTAGATCAACTGTTCCCATGTGCAAACAGTCATTAAAGACATGGTATTGGTAAATTAAATACGCGTTTAGTGGCTACTCCATTTAACAATAGATACGTCTTTCATCTGACGATGACTGAAGATTGTGATCAATGTGCCAATCAGTAAACAGGATATCTTTAACCCGTGATATGCTGGAACGCAGAACAACGCGATACATAATGTGCTTTCTATTGTGTCTGATATACCAGTAGACGAGAGGATAAGTCAAGAAAGAAGGATAAGGACTTACTTATCATGCTTAGTGGACCGAGGGTGTGGTTCGAGCTGCAGCGGGGTGGCGGGAGCGGAGCGCGGAGCCCCACACCCGCCACCCGCCGCGCCAGCCGCGAAATTGCCGGTTGACCTGAAACAAGCAAACACACATTCAAGAATTGTCATCTCGCATAGTAGTTAGACTTTTGCTCCCTTTTTTAATTCAACATTAGAGAGGAGGCATTTCTTTAACAGTGGGCACTAATAGGCTGATGATGATGTATTGGTAGTTAGGTAGAGCAGCATTTACTTTCCACTTTATTTGAGCCAGAGCCTAATGGTATCGCAAACGTAAAAAAGGCCATAGACAAAGTGTAACAGAGGTAATACTAGAACGTGCAGATCCAGGTCCAAGCTATACATACAACAGAAGAATTTAGAAAATGTAATCAAGTAAGACTTGCAGTTTATGGTAACGGTGACCCTTAAAATTGTCGGGAACTAAATGCTTCAAATAACAAAGCAAACCAATACTTAGTTTGAATTCCGAACAATATGCAACACATACGGAATCATGCAAGAGCTCATTAATTTCAAATCACCCCAATAAGTAGTAAAAATATACCATAAAAATACTTTACAACGAACTATAAATCGAGTATTCATAGTGATTGCACTGTAAACTATTCACATTGTTCGCCTCACATTTGTTTAATTCCTAGATTGGTACCCTTGCTGTCGGAGCTATGATTAGCATTGTCATTTCTATGAATAATCTGACAACATCATAAAATGATTACATATTTATTTCAAGCCTGTATTAATAAGTATGAGGATCCTAAAAAGAATATGGAATAATACTTGTTGGCAGTACACGTGTATAAATATGTACTTGTAACTAATTGGGTTTTGGTCCTTTCCTATACTTTTTCTTAAGCTAGAATGGTTTCCATACTCCTAGACTGGTTTTCACCAGCTGTGAAATTGTATATAAACTTTGACTAAGTATAATACTAATACCGATCGCAAAGTAAGAAGTCAAAGAAAGTAGTTAAAAAACAGAGAAAAAACATGTACCTATATTTATAGTTAAAATAAAAATCAAATAGAAACAATTGAAGGATTATCTGATAAAACCACCACATTATTGTCCGCTCTCTAAATTACAGATATCGGTTACAGTACAAAGTAAATCGTTTGGAAAACCTCACGAAACTGCTCGCAAAATTGCAAATAGCAAACATCAGATGTCTGTGTGCTTTAGTCAAAACAAAAGAGTAAAAAATCAAACAGGAATAGAATCCAATTTGATTCAAGAAAATGAACTTAAATAAGGAAATATTAACAAAAGATCGCAGCTGCATTAAACCTTTTAAAAATAAATGACCTCGGGCATCAAAATAACATACCAACAATGGATACGATTAAAATTTCCCTCGTACCTTTTATACTTAGTGTAGCTTCTTCGTCTCAATGTAGTTGTCGGTGGGGCCACTAAATAGGAGGGATGATTTTTTATCTTCCTTCCGACTTTTTTCCGGACCATGGCACACAAACCCACAATCTAATTCAATGACTTATCAGAGTTGAGACTACAGCAACTGTTAATTTAAAAAACACTACTGACAAAACTTCAAAAGCACTACACCTTATGAACCTATTGCTATTAGAGAACAATGAAAGTAAGTCCAAACATTATATCATTGGAACAATCACTTATCAACATACGAGTAACCATAACGCAGGTCCTATCTCCTACATTGTAATAATGTACGTAAATATTTTCTATTTAAAATTATATACTTCGAAAACAAATTGCTGTTTTATAAAACCTAGGGAGCCACTGTAACACGACCACTGTGTTATAAAGTACAATGAGACTACTAACATTTGTACAAATACCGACTGTGAATATTACAAATATACTTATTTCGTGGACAATACAATTTTTGACGGCAAAAAAACATGTATCCGCTCTGCATACAAAATAGTTATAAGTATATTATAACGAGTCACAGAGTCCGATTGCAATTACAGCATTATTGTAAAAAATATACAATTACAAACAGAATGGTTATCAGTTTTTGGAATTTGATACTTCGTGTTTTTGTATTAAAAAAAGAAGAACACTTAAGGGCATGCTTTACCATTAAAAAAGTTAAGAACTTAACAACGTTAAAAGTCATATCAAATCTAACTTACAATCTTACATACTAACCAGCTCTAATCCTAAAAAATCATATCATACACTACAGAATACCATGATAAGAAATAAAGGACAAAGAATGTACGTTCCTCATTCTAATGCTTGCCTTGACCCCGTTATGTTAATTGTCCAAGCGCCTAAAGGGACTACGCGCAAACAAGATGTTCTCTCACACTCAAGGACAACATTCTTTGACGCTAACACTTTCAAGGACAGGAAACGCGTGATATCTCAGGATAAACTTGTATAACAAATTCAGCTACAACAGTAATACATATAATTCATATGATGACATGTCCAACTGGTCGACACTGGAATATCCAGCTGGACCAAAGTTTTTCCACGAATCACTACTTATTTTCTCATTATCAATATTGGCATTGAGGTTTTTCGCTTAATGGGGATATGACTAAAAGTTTTAATGGGAATTCCGAGTCAAATAGAAAAAAGATTTTTGCTTTGATATTTGCTCCTGTAAGTCGAGTACATGTCTACATGTAACAAAAACTATAAAGAAAAATACCTAATACATCCTATAAGATTTTCTGTCTTCAATCGTTATAATCTAATAGCCTACTAAGTACGTGGGAAATAGATGTGTAAAGGATAACGATACAAGTAGAAGAATCTATAAAGACAGACGAGATAGCTAGGTATGGAAACGAAAATAAACTGTGAGCAGCAGGCGCCCGACAGTCTGACGATATTGTTCCACGTGTTGTTATAGAAACAATCATAGATGGCAAGGCAACAGTACCGAAAATATGATCTGTTTAAACAAAGATGGAAGATATTAAAGCACCATTTATAAATAAAAAAAGTAAATGTCTACATAGAGAATAGAAGTATAAACCACAAGTATGTTTGCTGGAAGATAACAAAGCATTAGTAACTAAATAACACTCTACCAAATTATAATAACCTAAACAGTATTCTGGACACAATAATATTCTACAAAACAATTCCAGCAACTGGTTATTTTCAATGTCTTGTTAATAAAAACAAAAACACTTTAAACTAGCTAGTATTTCGGAGAAGCTGAATAAGAAATAAGTTTTAACCACTTCCGACGCAGGGCAAATTGCCAATAACATTTTCGTGATATCTTCATGAACCGCTAAACTTACGAAAGACTAATCAAAAATAAGATTATTACGTATTATATTAACATAATATCAAAAAAGTAAAAATACTTAATACGATTCTTGTGACAAAGGGTTTCAATTTCAAGTATAGACTCCTCTTTTAAACAGATGAGAAAAAGATTACATTGATATTTTATTTACACTGAGTCAACTAAATCGACGTCTTCTTTTCTGCCTTTTAATTTACACATATTTTAGCAACAAACAATATACAAAACACAAATATAAACACAACCTAATCAACCCTATCAATTCAAGTTCTAAGAAATATCGACAAGTTAGTGTCCTTCAAGGGTGTAGTTGTTTGTGAACTTCACATGTGAAGCAGCACACATGCTCTGCTTCTACGCATTAGAAATTGTAGCACAAACCACAAGATATTCGTTGTTACAGTAATGTATGTAAAATCTTACACTAGTGTCGCGTCCTATATAGCAAGCTCTTCAACAATTGATGGTACAATAGAATCTTCCTCCTACGTGTTAACATTACTCCTATTATTTTTTCAACAACCTTTCATAACATTACGTGATATTTGAAGAATACTTCTCATATTCTCAAGTTTCTGTTTATAAACTATAGAAAAGTTAGATCGAGTCACACGATCACTTTATTGCTAGCTAGAGACCAAATCAAACATGAAGTATATCGGGGTAATAATGGTGGTATTTTTGAAAATTCTTTGTTCTGATAGTGTGAGTTTTTATCAAAAGATTGTTTCCTAGAAGTCTAAATTAGCGCTACTTTTGTGTGCTTGTATATTTTAGAGAATGGTGCCGATCAACTACGTGACCATCGATCCTAATCTTTATGAGCCTACACCAGGTCGGGAACGTACTCAGTCTGTTGAAAATGAGGAAAACCTGCATGAAAAAGTAATTGGACTGCGGGACCCATACGAAGAACCTGATACTGAGGAATACTTTGACTATGACAGGAAACAAAACACTGAAATGACTAAGGTAAGTAAATAAATCTACGCAATAAATCCGCAAGACATGAGCTTAGTGAATTATTGTGTCTTTGTTAAATTTACAGCCGTGTTCCGTCGTAGTCTTGTCCAGCATGCAGAACCCAAATATGCAGTCGCTGTTACGCAAATATCGATATGACGCAAATGGTTAGAACATTTAGCATATTATTAATGTTTAAATATCTTATTTTTATGGCTTTGGTACACGCTTAATTTTACTTTTGACATAGGTGTGCTGATACCGAGCAGTGTGAAATACTTCATTAAGTTGCCCCAAGGTCTTCGAGCATCGCCTATCCTCGTGCCTTTGAACGACAAGGCTTTTTCACCTTTAGGCGGATTTGTGAGGTACGTTAATCCGCTTTAAGTTGACGTGAAGTAATACTACTTCTTTTGTTCCCCATAACTTAGTAAAGATTAATAACTTGACAATATAATTTCGCAGGTATTACAAAGAAGTTCCACCAATCCCCCATGCTTGGTGAATAACATTTGATCCGAATATGCAATATCACAATATCATGGCAATTAAAAATATAAGTGTATTCAGTGCTTATTTTTTGTTTGTGTTAATTATAATCAAATTAAATCAAGTTTATCACTATCCTACTAGACTGGTGCAATCCCCCTTAATCATTTTCTGTCGACTGATAGACCACGTGTAACATCTGTTGTGTCTCATATGCCAACGTCAACGAATACTGCAAACAATATACGTCGTGAGAACTGAACTAGTGTAGAAATCGTTCGACCTTGTCAAAGTAGGGAAAACACAACAAAACATCATTATTATACAGTAAGAAACATTATGATGAAGATGTTTACCATGTTCTTAGTAAGAATCGCCGATGCGGCAATTTACGAGAACGGTCCAATAACTTGATTGAATTAGGCCACCTCTTCTAGAACCTATAGACATCGATTGAGCACAAGTGGTATAAGAGGCCGGATGACGTCAACCAAAACAGCCTGGTCACTTTTATTTGATAACTTTTTAACAAATATTCTCTTTGAAGTGGTAATTGAAACGCCATATAGAAAATTGAACAAGATGAAAGCAATTCAAAGAAATTCTCATTTCTTTGGGAATATTAACAGTAACAAGCAAAATGATATCAAAAGAATTAATAAATCTTCTCTTCTCTTAAGATTTTCGTCGTTAGATCCAGACAAGATTAGGCTTAAATAATGATTAGCAGAGGATTAACAAACAGGTGAGAATTTTCTTTACAATAAATAGCTATTAAATATGTGTAGGTACAATTTATAGGTCAGAAACTCCTTAATAATTTTAGAAGTCTTACAGACTCGTATTCATTATTAATCTGAACTTGTACAAGTTCAAAAGTCAAAGGTTCCTTTGGAAAGATTAATATACTTCGGTTAAAGTTTCACTCTCGTGGTTATGCGATACACATTCATTAATAAACACCTGTATGTATAGAGGTGTAAATTATAAATCTACTGACTTGTTAAATTTCTTCCAATTGACAATTGTACTCTATTTAATGACACTGAGTTTACTGTCTAAGAAAAGCCTACCTTAGGATTGAAACTACCAAAATGGAGAATACTAGTAACTATTATAGAGTTTTATGACGCCATTAGAAGCTTGGGCGCCTTTCATGTTAAATACATACTTAGAGTACACACACTGAAGGGTGTGGCTAAGAATAGGCACGATAAAGAAGCAAATATGTGAACTTGGTTGCGATGACGTCTTAAGGGAGAGGCAAAAATCAATAAAGATAAATCCACCATGAACAAATTGTAACACAGAAAAAGACAATCTTAGCACATTCGTATAGGAGAATCATTTTACTGTTTAAACAGTGTCAGTAACATGAAACCTTTAACTGGCGTTGAAAGACATATGTAACCTTTTTATAAAAGTATTTCCTTTCTAACATATTTATAAGATGAGAGAGGACAACGTTATCGTCCTTCGCCATGTGTTGTAAATAGCGATAAAGAGAACACTGGTTATTCACAGTTGGTATTTGCAAGAAAAACTCTTGGCAAAATCTTCAAGGCAGCAATCATTATATATTGCAAGCCCTTATTCTTTTCTACATTAACCTTTACCAACGTGTGATGTTAGTTATTGCGTATTAATTCCTACTTGTAATGGCGAAGTGGCAGAATCTCCTTTCAGCATTATCATCCCAACTTTTTGCTTTCCGAAAGAACGAAAAATACACCTTTTGACCTGCTTTTATGTAAGATATAGACCTTCAGTATTACATGCATTTCTACAAAACAACCAAATATAAGAAATATTAGCAGCAATTAAATCGTAAACCTTGCAATACTACATAAAATCTGGTATATGTATGTATTTATAGACACCAATAAAACGCAAATGGAACTAGTTTTCAAAATCACGATTCCAATTTCGTAAAACGCAATCTAGAAATAAGTTAGATAGGCAATTATTATAATTTAAGCAATATAACGTAGTTACACGGCTACAATATTTCACAGTTACTACATGGTTGTATGCCAAAAACAAGACTAGGACCTTAATAAAAGTCTTCTACAGGTAGATGGTGTCATCTATAACCGTCTTGTGGTCTTGTGTGTGTGTCCGTCTTTTCGTAGTAAAACTGGAGAGACAGTCAACCCCATATTAGTCACATTGCTTCTTACGGCACTGCCAGCTTTGTACACTTTGTGCCGTGTATGGTCGAAAATTATGATGAGGTCTTTAAGAAGAGATAGTACTTACCACAATAAATACCATTCCGCCGCCATCATAATTCCAAAAGGCATAATAGAATCGAAGGTAATAGTGTACTAATAGCAGCCATAAAAGATAACGTACTCATCTCCTATTCTATGGCTTAGAGTTTATGAGTATTACAACTAGTTATTCAAGTGCTCGTATCTATCGTATTGCAGTTGTGTTTACGCTGAAAAAAAAACAATATGCATTCAATACTATCACTTCAAACTGTAAACAATAAATCTCGTATCAAAACCTCTGTATTTTTAATATATTGGCTCTCTTCATACATTTGCTACGTTAATTTTGCAATCGATTTCAGCGATTTAAAAAGCCTTTTATTATAACTCGAGACTTTTATCGAAGTACTTTGAATTTTCTGCGTGGCTGGAGATGTGTCACTTTCAATATCAACACGTTTGTTTTTAATATTATCTAGATCTTTGAATTTAGAAGAGGATGTTAAAGATATGTAAAACATATCCAATCTAATCTTTGATATATTGTATATCTGAACAACGCACGTGTTCAAACGATTTCATCAGGTTGAATTTCTTTTACACTTTTTTTTCATATTAGAATATTCAGAGGTTAACACTTTCTTAGCACTCTTTAGAATCAATCTTTGAAGGTCAGGAGACGAACGTGCCATCAAAGTAAGTAGGTTCCATTTAGCAAATGAGGTTTCAGAACGATCTATCAAATAAATTCTACACAAAACGAATCCTCCCTTTGCAAACGAATTTCTAAAAACCAAAATGTGTTTTTCCAACGTTAACCGCACGTGACCGTAATTCTTGCTTTACGCACTCGTGTACGTCCGGTATTTTAGTTAGTAACGAACACATAAAATTACGTAGTTAAAGTCCAGACAACGATCAACACAAATTCTCTAACACTAAACAGATTTGTTGTTACATACGAATTTTTTTTAAAGCATGTAATGCCAGCTTGTTACAAAAAAGAATTTCACTGATCATTGAACATTGACAATTCTTAAGTACGTTAAAGACGCCTCATTTATAGAAAGAAAATAAAACAAGCAAATAGGCGAGTTCCTAAAGCACGTGCGATGCTTATATCACGAATAGAGGGAGCAACCGTTGGAAACGTGCCAACTTCCATTCGCGACGTAGATAAAGCTCTATAAGAGGAAACAATATCCATATAACGAAAATTGTCATGGGCGACCAATTTCGGGAGACCGGTCACATCAAAGAGCGATGGCACGACAGCGTTATTCTTAATTCAGCAGGATGTTTAGTCACGTATTTGTGCGTCGGCCTTGGCACTGGCTCCATATTCTCGAAGAAAATGGTCACGTATGATGAAATTTGGTGAGGCTACGTCATAATATGGCGAATGGCGACGACCGATGACTAACGTCGCGCGGTTGTCGCTTTACAAATGTTATGCTTGACTCCATCTAACAACTGTGTTAAATTAAAGAGGGACTGGAAGCAGTCAATGACTTTCAGACATAGTTTATGTTGGAAATAGGACCAACTTTAAATCGTGTTCTTAAAATGTAATCTGTACCTAAGCAGTAAAAAGACATTAATTATCCTTAATCGTAGATGTTTACTTAATTACTTATACCATAAGAAAAATACCAGCTAAGTAATTACAGTTTGAATAAGGTCTGTTAGGATTCTAATAAAAAACAACGTATTTTCCATGCAGAAGTCAATGTTCACGGACAACTTGGATTTATAAAAACTTGAATTATGAAGCCGGTCTGGCAAATTAACTGAGGAGGTAGTGTGGCATTCTAAACAATCCAATTTGAGAAGCGCTTTAAAATATTCGAAAAACACAAGATAAGCTGAAACCATATAATTTTAATCCAATTCTCTATGATTTCAATTTTTATGCGCATTATTTTAAGTTTAAAGCGACGACTCAAATGTTGAATTACATATTACAATAGATGCCGTGAGTCGTGACTCTTAGATGAAGATCAAACAATGGTTCACCAGTGACAATACTACTTCTGACTTCACTGCATCAAAATAAACGTAATGTCACCATCAGCATTTTGAAAAACAAATCATTCCTTCAGCCAAATCACTACGAAGTTAAGAACTGGTCAGATAGAAACCAAGTCGGATTTTGGATAAACTGATTCCTGTAATCTGTGATTTCGTTGAGTAATAAAATAAAACGGGTCGGCCCTAAAACTCCGGAATAAAAAGTGCGACTACATTTTCCGGTTGGTAACTATTGAAGTAGGTTTCTTGGTACTATTACGATATCTACAACACAAACACATTTAGTTATACATAAAATCTAAATGTGTTACGTAAAGTGCAATAGTTATCCTTGCTTCTTAGGGTGGTCCAAACTTCATGCTGCTACATTTAAAGCATCGAAGTCTAGTTAAAGGAAAGTCTGATACATTTTGATATAAATTCATTTAAAGCTAAAGCTAATTAAGTTAAAGCTAAAGAAAAAAGATCAAACCTCCAAATAATTTTATTCACCAATCAAATAAAACCAAAATGGATATTGTTTTGTCACTGTCATCCAGATTTTTATCGCAGAGGGAGCCACTGTCGTTTAATGGCACAAAATATCAACTTAATATCGTAATAAACTATCAGGAAGGTATCATTACTAGTCGAAGAGGCCACGCACGACAAATTAGATACTTCCTTTTATTCTGCAACGGCAATGATGACATCATTCTTATGGGTCTATGAATTAATATCCAACACTACTGGCTGAGTTAGGTACTATGAAACACACATGAAGTTTGGTAACAAAATTATGGACAAAAAAGAAAGTAAATGCAATAAACTTGCCCCAAAAGTTGAAGATTTATGCGTCTGAATGTTTTGAATACAAAACAAATAATTTAGACTGTATCAACATTAACCGAGATCGTATTTTTGCATCATTACTGTCCGAGGATAAAATTGATAGTCTACTAAAAGTAGTATAATTATGTATAAAGTAAAACAGATCCGTCAAAAGATTTTCTATAGACAGATAAAATTCGAATCTGGCATAGCATTCAACGTAATTTACGTGTAAGTAGGGAAAGTTCGCTAGCCATCGCAAACCGCAGTAGACTTCGAAGAATCTTATGCAATGAAATGAGTCATTGAAAATACCAAGTGAATAGACTGCGGACTGAAAAGAAGAATCTTCACAATCTACACAGAACTGAGCGAGTAAAAATAACTAGATGTTTTAACTGGACTCTTTGCGCAATCATTATTTATGTCAACCTCAAACTATTTCTGTTTAAACGTATGTTAAACATTCAAAGCAAATAGATTTAGGGCAAGGATATAGTCAGATCCGATGTATTTACTTTGATGTGTCAAGTTATCCAGAATCGGGAGTGTCGTCATTAAGCGGGCGTTTATGAAACAATTTGTCTTGGCCTTAACGTACCGGTTATTTTGGTGTCGCCCGTTCAAAGTAGGTCGACAGCACATGGTAAGAATCTATCATAAAGTTGCGACACTGCACCGGTGTTTGCACGTAATTAGATGTGCACGAAAATACACCGTTTATGGGATATCGTTCCGCTTTCAAGTAATAAAAACGTTTATTGTACCCACTTATTTCCTCCTGAATTAAGTTTGACAATTACTTTAACATAATTGACGCCTTAGTATCGAATAATAACTTAAGTAGGTATTTTATTGCTAGATAGCCCATCGATATAAATAATTTAAAAAAAACGAAGAGTTGAAAATATCGGAAAACAGATTTTAGACAATGAAATAGTAAAAAAAAAAGAATGAGTCAACTAAGTCTTTTACCTGAATCAAAAAGTGATATTGATAAATTACTGTGTAAGATATATGTTTATAAAAAAAATATCTGATAGTTATTATCTTGCAGGTGTTCATGAAAATTTTAGTTGTACCTATTCTTATACCTACATATATTTTTATAGATATCTTATCTAGTTCAATAATGGACAGTTGTCACTAATCTTGATATAAGTTAATGTATGGTTTGACAAATTCCATATTGCCTATACTATGAGCAGATAAAATACAAGTAAAAACGGAGTGTTCATTGAAATTTAATATCTGGTTTTATGTTATACACAATGTAAACTTGATCTAATTCCGTCAGCACAAGACGTCAACCAAGCTTTTATGTTTAACTTTCACACTTACTAGGACTGTGATCTTTCTCTCAACCTAAGATATAGAATTACTCAGTCTATAAGGAGATAGAATTACATAGTCGTAACGCTGAACTAATACTACAACAAATAATTTACAAATTTTAAGACATGTGAATTATTAATATTTAGTTAAACAAAAAGAAAATTCCACCATATAGACACTAAGAATAATAAGTGCAGCACATTAAGGAAAAACAATATTGTGACATTATTAAGTGAATATTCAAAAGCGAAATATACTTCATTTAAAATTACATAAATTAGATATAAATAGGTATATAAAACTTCCAAGGCTAAAAAACATTACAATAATAGTAATGAAAGTTATTGCTACAGTCAGATTGCAAAAGGAATATATTAATTTTATTTAATGACAGTAAAATATGGATTTGATTAAAATGAATGGTTTTGGACTTGATTTCTACAAGAAGCATATTCTATCTTAACTGTATGAAACATCAAACTGTATGAAAAAAACACACAGTAAATAGTTATCAGGAATAATATCAGTTTGCATTTGTAACTGATTCAAATAAGAAATTATAATAAGTAGGTAACATTTGAGTGTATCCAAATGTAGAAATAACAGAGAATAACTAACTGGAATAATAAAATATTAATGACCAAGGACCTTTCAAAAATATGGCTCTTCAGCGAAATGAGTGTGTGAGAGTTATAATATGAGGAATTTTTGGCTATAACTTATGTACTTCATGCTTAAGTAATTAGAAATGACATTCTAGAAAAAAAGTGACAGTCATTGATGGTTTATAAAGCCTTTGGCATCTGACCCTGACTGTAATGGGGGTTGTCAAGTTTGAACTCATTTATAATAATGGATTTTCTATTGTAAGCAGTATTATTACTTCACTAAATGCTATTAAAATTAATGTATGAAAAAATGCTGTTATAATCAGAAAGTAAAAAGTATGTTGTTGTTTACTGTACATAAAAAATTATGCATATGCATATAATATTAGTTATCATAAAGTCCTTTTCTTACTTTGTTGAATAGTGGCTATTAAACATGAGCTCATACTGTATAATACCACAGCTATAGATATGTATGTACTTACATGGAGACCAATTAATAAGGATTTTTGTAATTAATTTAAGGTAATCTCTAGATAAATACCTTCAAATCAAAGATAAATTAGTAGTGTATTCTGTGAAGCAATAATCAAATTGAAAAAGGTTAATTATTATACAACAAAGACCCTTATTGTATCCAACAATTTTTATATGAGTTATTAAAAAATAAGTGTTTGAGATCCATCAATGGTAGACAGAAACTATGTATGGACAGTAACCACCATAAAAAACAAATCTCCAACACCAGAGATAACACAAACATGTTGCTGATTGGGTAGCAAACTTCTTTTGCTCCATCATCTTTGGTTCAATATTCTATTTGAAATAAAAAGGTACTAGTTTAAAAAATCCACTTTAAAAACTATTCTAATTAGAATTTAAATACTTCTGATAACATACCTAGTTACTAAACATGAGAATAAAATTATTCATGAAAAAGAAAGTTTCATTAGAACCTTAATTATTTTAGGTAAGGTGAAAATTCTTTAGTAAATACCTAACTATGGGAGTATTTTTAGTCAAGGCATTTACATAGAAATTGAATGTGGAATTTAAGTGGAAAAAGGTTATGAAAAGTGTCTTTATGACGCAGAAAACAAAGGTCATGGAATAATTGGTGACATGTAACGTTAATAGACCTATTATTAGGTAGTTGTGTCATTTATTCAGAATATGAGTGAAATAATTTTTGAGTCAGGCTTTATTATACCTAATTAGTCATTTTTAACTTGAATTACTTATTGTAGTGCCCAAAATTTGAACGCAATTTCATTATTTAAAAGGTTTATAGAAAGATGACTAAGTGGGAAGATCCCAGAAAGTATAAACAAAACAATGACGCAGTAGTCATCAGGTATTTCAGAATTTATTCGAACTAAATACTTCATGATCATTGCCAAATATTGAGGTTTTAATTAAACACTTATTTCACTACTCTTGAAAGTATTACTATGGCCATAACTAAGGTGTTGAGTCTAAAAAAGAAATGTAAACATTGAATTGCAAATCTAAAAAATACAAATAGATGATATAATTACCAAGTCTTTCTAATGGTCAAGAGGCCTTTCGCTGGCCTCTTCCCTCCTGCATCAGTGATGACTGCGAACCGGTCGCTCAGACTCCTTTTTACCTCTGGAAACCGTCCTCCAGATGACAGCCTCAAAGACTTTCCAGTCACTAACGCCTGCGATTTCTTAGATCCTAACTCTAATGGCTCCTCAACCACACCACCCTCTACTTGAAGTGATACTCTTTTGCTTTGCTTCTTGTACTTTAGAGCAGCCTCTGACACATGGCCGTCAATCTCACGGTTCTTGTTAAACCCACGCGCACTCTCACCAAACCCTTGGACGAAACAGAGCATAATTTCATCAGGATACGACTCCTTCATTTAGAAGGTCATTACTAAATTGTATAAACGTAATCCACTCGAATAAGGTCACAACAGCCAACGATCCGTTTCACAACAACTTCAATATGCTAATAAACAGAGTCACAGGACATCTTCCAACTAGAAAACAGTACAGACTTCACAGAATTACGACTACAAACTTATTTTGTTACGGTGTACGCAACTGGGTTACTAAAACACATTCAACATCGATAAATTTGCAATAAAGTGGTAATTCACACAAACTCCGCGACGGGATTCGGTAATAACTTATTAAAATTCACAGTTAAATTGTTTCATTATTAGCACGAACACAATTGTTCGAAAGATCGAAGGATTTATGTAGGCCGCCGAAAAATATCGGGGTGAACTGACATTTCTTTTACGTTCGGTAACCGCCCGTAAGTCGCCTTGCGTTCGGAAACACAATCTTACACGGCCTCGGCTGTTTGCGAACTGACACCGGTTTGGCCGCCCCCACTCGGCCTAGCGTCCACGCGGCGACTCACAAAATGTGCGCCGCGTCGCAATGAATGGAGAATATGACGTCGTTTTGTGTGGTACACAAGAAGTGCCAATTTTTTTTCTACGGTAAGGATAACGTTTAAATTGAAACAGCAGAGTACCGTATCTAGAAAACCTATTTTCCTACTGATAATAAGAATAAAATAAATGTAAGTATGTCTTATTTGGTCTTACATGATAGACACTTATCACTTAGGTACATTCAAATTACAATAAGTAGGTACACAAGTAGGTACCTAGGAACTGCTATTTAACTTAGTTCCATTATGTTTGTAAATGTCGACTTGCGAGAGTGACCGCAAGGGAAAACCCAATTAAAAACAATAATTTAATATAAACACATATAAACCTTTATCTACCTACTGGTTTTTAGCGTATACAGGTAGGCAAATGATAAAATGAAAATAAAAACTGCAATAAGTGACTTATCAACATGCTTATAATTCTAAACTAATAGCGAGTTCGAGCTACAGTAGTTACAAATTAGAATTAGATAGACCAACTTTTTCTAATGTGTTCATTATGTAGAGCCGTAATACCTGGATTCACAGTGAAAATGTATCATGTTGTGCAAAATCGTATCCACGTGTACGGTATAAGCCTATAATATGGCACGTCGAGAGCGGCGGAGAGTAGAATGATAGTTAATATACTATATAGGTACCTACATATCACTCGCACATAAATGGAACGGTATTCTTTGAAGTAGATACGTTTATCAGATCACCTTCGTTCATTTTCTATTTCGGAACATATAGGTAACAATACTTTAACCTTCTCAAAAATTGTAGGATTGAAAAATAAATGAGTATCCCATTGCGTGACGACCTATTTTGGATCGATACTGGGAAAACAAAGCAAAGTGAGGGATCGTCAAGGTTACCGGGAACCAAACTCACATTGTAAGGCCAAAACACATTACTTATGTGTTAAATTTATGTCCCTTTTTGAATACGAAAAGGGAAGTACCTATATACATAACGATAACCGTTCTGCGTACTTCTTTGGAAAAATCATAAGACCATCACAATCTTATATCACTTCAATCAGTGGCAAGCAGCTTGGTAAACACAGACTTTTGAAAAAAATGGCCTAAAGACTTCTAACGAAACAAACAAAATTTGCGCCTAAACATGATTATTCAACAAAGGCATTTTCATCAAAAGTAGGTATGTAGATAAGCTACGCGCCTACCTGCTGAATTTTTGTCATTGATAGGTAGGTACGCAATATTATTCGACCAGTCACAGTTATGATTGATAGAGGCCTTGAAAAATAGCTGAAGATCACGAATCAAGATATACTGCGAGCAGTCTGTGAAATCTGTGAAATCGTATTCACTCGTGGGAAAGTAAAAACCACGTAACGATTGAAGTAGGTATAAGTATGGCAAATTGGTTAATTTAGAAGTCGCGTGTACAATTTTCGTCATGAAACATTCTCACTTTCCCATTTCAATCTTTGATTAAAGCCGGATTCACTTTACCCATTTTTAATACTGTAGGCGAAAGTGGTGCTTTTAAACCTTATTTGTAACTTATAGCCCTATCATAACTTACATGTAACGTCGAATAAAAGCCCTCATGTTTGATCAACGAGGAAGTGAAAAAAAGAACTTGAAGACTCATTTCAAGAATGAATGACCTCATTAAGATTAAAATGTTCGTTCTCTTTACAGTTATCCTCAACAGTACTCCATCTTTGTCCCGTTTTAAATTGATTAATTATTTCTTTTAATGTAATCATGGAACGGAAGAAGCATTTTTCTTGATCAAAGAAAAACAAAATCGTTATTATTTTATTAGGAAACTTTATTTTATTGGACTATAATAAAATAATAGGGGAGGTGGGCCCAAAACGGGTACGCTAAGGGATATTTACAATAAAAAATTGTTAGAAAAGAAAATTAAACTTCTATTTTTACTTTTCAAATTATGTAATTAATAAAGATTCTAAAATTAGAACAAACATAAAAAAAATTCTTCAGAATTCGAACAAAAACGAAAAACAAAAAAAACCTTCAAACTACCCGTTTTTCCCCGTGTGGTGCCTAAAACGGGTACGGCGTTTGGGCAAAACGGGTATAAGGTAATTATCGAGATCAATGGACACTAAAAGGAAATTTTGCCAATTAACTAATACTATATTAATACTATTAAGTCTTCTTTTTCATTGCAGTCTTCATTATTAAACTTATTGCACTTTCTTCGATCATCATTCATCATAAATCAACTTGTACCTATCGTCTCAATTATTAACTATAAAATTAAAGTTATTCCTGACAGCCATCACAATAATAGGAACCTCTACCAGAATAAGTTGTGCACGCCTCGTGGGCCCACATTTGACAATCATCGCATTTGATCCAGTCCTCTATAGGCGGGTATGAGTATAACTCTGAACAAACCAAGCATGGGTATTCGGTTCCGTGATCTTCATTATCCTTAGGTCCTCGCTTGTACCTTTTTTGCTTATTTGTCTTACTAGTAGAAGCTTTTACAACCTTCAAATTTTTCTTCACTGCTTGGATTTTACTCATAGGAACTTTCTTTTTCTCTTCTTTTTCTCGTTGCTGATCTTTTATTGGCGTACTTGTAAGTATTTCGGCTCTTTGCGTTTTTCGTCTGCGAGTGTTGGTGGTATTCACCTTCATTTTGGGTGAAGGCCTGATTTCTATTGGTGTCACATGGGGTGCTACAATTTCTGGTTGCGAGTCCTGCCCGTTAGTATTGTTACTACTAACTTCAATTTCTGGAGTCAAGGTATTATCATTATTTGGCGTCATAAGCTCAAGGCCTTCCATCATTGTTGGAGTTTTGCAGACAGAATTACGATTCAAAAGCTCGTCTAAAACAGAGGGTGATATAGTGCGATCAGAATCAATGGATAATCGAATATTGTTATTTACTGTGAAAGGTATTTCAATGCTGTTTACTGTTACTATAGCAGGCAACTCTGGCTCATTAGGCGCTGCCACATCTTCATTTTCAATTGGTTCTGGTCTGTCAGTCAACGTTGATGGTAGATAATCAGAATCATCGAAAATATGACGATTGGTTGGCCATACGCCAGTGGAGGAAAATCCTTTGATAGCATTATGGGCACTAGCCGCTTTCATGTAGGCCTCATTAAACAACCTTGCAACTTCATATTGTGATACGATACGCCCAACATGAGTTCTTTGAAACAAGGAAACGGCTTGCTCAAAGTAGATTTTCAATGGTCCGTACACGCACGTATCAAGCGGCTGCAATCGGTGTGTAGTATGTGGTGGAAAAGACACAAAAATCACATGGTTCTTCGAGGCAAACTCTAAGGCTTGAAGATATTTGTGTGACTCATGGTTATCCATCACCAAGAGAATTTTTCTTTGTTCTGTGGGCCTAGTCATATCTACGAAATGACGTAGCCATTCCAAAAATGTTGGGCCATTAATCCAGCCATTATCGGTACAACTAGCTACCGATCCAGGTGGAGCCCCATCTAGAAGTCTAGGCACCATCCGCTTTCGGCCAAAAATTAGAAAAGGTGGTACAAAGGAACCTGCCGCATTGCAGCAGCATACAATGGTGGTTAATTTACCTCGTTCGACACTTGAAATTACACCGACTTGCTTTTTTCCAGATCTGCAAAGGATTCTAGGTGGCCTATTGCTGGTAGTTTGAACCCCAGTCTCATCGACGTTGTATATCCGTGTCGCGTCAATATTATGTTTTTCAATCTCTTGTTCTAGTATATCGAAAAACCTTTGAACTTGAGGTTTGTTAAAACCTCTGGCTCGTGCTATCGATGTTGGTTCTGGCCGACGAAGACTCATATTAGGATGTCGTATTTTAAACCCGGCGAACCAATCCTCACCCGCGGTATTATTCTTGAATGGGTGAGGAATGTGATTAATCTCAGCATATTGGTACACAAGCTTCAAAAAATCAATTCTAGTTAACCCAAAAAAAAGTGAGTCCATATGAAAGACATATTCCAGAAGTTCTTGCTCCTGATTTTCATTAAAAACAGTGACGAACCTACCAAGTTTTTTTTTCGGGCACCCTTTTTTGATGTGCCGCTGTAGTGTTGATAGGTTGATGCCGTATTTCTTTGCAGCACCTTTGACTGAAGTTTTGCCAGCTTCCTCCATTGCCCTTTTCATAATATCTTCGTCCCAGGAAGCATTTGTAGTTTTTCTTTTATATTTATTTACCATCTAAAAAAAGAAGAAGCATTATGTACATTAACAAGCAATATTTTAATTTTTCATTCATTTATGAATTGAAAACTAAACAAAGTAACTCATACCAACCCACGAAGCCATATCTAGGGTAAAACGGGTAAGGGCAAAGCAGGTACCCGATTTACCCGTACCCGTTTTGCCCGAAGAGCACGTTTTAGTTTTTACACTTTATAACCTTAAAATTTAAACAAAAGTAGCAACAAGCTTCCGAAGATAAAATAACACAATACTAGCAAAACCGTAACGTAAATTTTTTGAGAACATATCATACACCATTTTTAAGTAAACACAACTATTCCAAACCAATAATTTTTAATGGAAATAGCAAAAAAACATTTTTTTAACTTACTTTGAAAGCGCTTGTATCACTGTAGCGAGCCGACTGCACGTGATTGGTTGATGCTCGAGGCACCACACTGCACTCATACATTTGCAATTTTACTTTCGGCGCGCAAATTTAAAAGGCTACCCGTTTTAGGAGGGGTACCTGTTTTAGGCCCACCTCCCCTATTGATGTTTAGGTACTTTTCAGAGCCTAATAAAATTACCAAGAGCGATAAAGGAGTTTTATTTCTATTTGTCTTTCGTCCTAAATTTGCATTTTAGGGATAAGTTTCAGGAAAACTAGGCCAGATTTGTGATGTTTAACTTTATCGCATAATTTTAAAGGAAAAAGTTTATCAGATATCTTTATTTTATAAAGGGCGTATTTTACACTAATTACCGGAATGTTTGTCCCGAAAA